CTGAGCTCTTTCCACATGGGAAGATGAAGAAGGTGGTAAGAGAAGGCTGTGTGCACACAGGACATGCTGGATTTCACACACAGGCTGGACTTTTAAAACTTCACACACGTACAAATGTTTCTCTCAGTTTTGATTCTGGTCAACACCCTCTTTCATTTGCACATTCTATCAGTTTCCATACCTGCTTCTTTATCTGAGACGTTACCCATACCTAATCCATTTCACCTTGCTGTCAGGATGGTTTCATATAATGGACATCTGATCCTATTCGTAACTGTTAGGTGAGCTCAGTGGTGTAAAGTCTGCTTGCACTAACCTGATTACCAGTCCCTGCCCACTTTTCCAGTCTCATTTCCAAGTCTTGACTTAGGTTCTACCCCTCAAGCTGATGGCCTTTGTACAAGTTGACTTTCCTTCCTAGAAAGGTCTCCTCATTACCCACCCCTGCACCTCTGCCTTCTGCCTATCAACATCTAATCTTCATTCATGGTCAGCATTTGCCTCACTTTTAGGAGGCTGTGCTTAACCTAACTCCTTCATTTATTCCAGGAACATCTGTTAACTCCATTACTTATTTGCATGCCTTCATCCCCTACCAGGCTGTGAGTTTCCTGAAGAATAGAATTGTTTCATTTGAATATCATTGTATATCAAGACCCAAGAAAAGTGCCTGACACATAATAGGTACTCAATAAATTTTGTTATATTTGATGAATAAGTGAATGAGCAAATAAGCAAATGGTTTAATGAAAAAAATGTGGTTTTGGTATAAGCTTAAGAACACAAGCTTTGCAATACAAACAGAAAATTGTTTACTTGTTTGAATGTAGTGAAATGTAAAAGCAATTTTTACTATGAACATGCTTGTTGGTATGTTGACTATGAATTTTTTTTTTTAAGTACTGGGATTGAACCCAAGAATGCTTTACCACCGAACTGCATCCCCATCCCTTTTTAAAATTTAAAATTTTGAGACAGGGTGTCATTAAGTTACCAAGGCTGGCCTCAAACTTGTCATCCAGTTGTCTCAGCCTCCTAAGTCACTGGGATCATAGGCGTGCAGCATCATGCCCTACTTGACTACAGATTCTAAAAGGATTATGAATCTAAGGTCAACACATTTCTCTGAATTGTTTTTAAAATCAGCAAAGTCTAAAATATTATAGAAAAATTTCAGATTTCAAGGCAATGCAATTCTCTTAACACCAGTTCAGTAATGATTTAAAGAGCAAATTATTTAGGATAGTACTTTAAGAAAATGCCAAAGTTGCTTTTTCAGGTTTGAAATTTCTTATTTATCTTGTACAAATGCTGCAATCAGATCTTTACTACAGAAAGAACATCTCTTGCCTGTGAATTACATGGATTCCTTTTACATATTCTGATAGACAGATTTTAATTACTGATTAAATGGTAAGATGATATTGTTGTTGTTGTTATCATTATTACTATTATTATATAAGCCTAGGCAGTTATAACATCAAGATAAAATGTTGGCTACAAAATAGCAACAAGTTTATGAAGATATGCAATCTGCTGCCTGATTATAAATTCTTGATGATAACAAGGTCCCTTTTGATTCAAGTTCATCAACGCTGGAAGGCACTTCTCAGATGAGCTGGTAATTGAAACTGTAAAAATTAACAGGAGTAAGAGGACTCGGGAGTTTGTGTGGCAGGATAAGGATAATGTCAAGAAAAAGTCAACAGTCATGAGCAGAAAACTCTGGAATTTCAGTGAATGACTCAGCAGAACCAAATTCAGAGGCAAGGGCCAAAAGTTTCCCCCAAAAGGTTGTATTAAAGTAACAAATCAATTAGTACAATGCACTAATCAACTAGTGTAAAACTAATATTATAAATCAATGTTCTACCCTAGAGTGGATTCTTATTCTTCAGAATTGAGAAATTGTGTTTTCAAGAGGACTGAGTTTTTTGTTGATCATCTCATAGAAATGAAATCTATTTAAAAGTACTTCTTAGGGTAAAAACATTTTATGTTCCACGTTTAAAAAAAAAAGACAAACTAAACTAGTATAATTAACTTATTGATATAATTATTTCAATGATCCTCAAAAGGAAAACAATGTTGATGTATCTGCTCATTTAAATAATTTAAATTGCCTAAAATATATATTTAATATGTATTTTAGAAAACAATATTTAACAAAAACATTCTGAAAAATGAACAGGGAATTGTACATTAAAAATGGTTGATACCAGCCAGCAAATTTTATAATAATCAACAATTTATATTAAACTCATGAATAAAAAAAATCTCAAAATCTATTATTACTTAGAGGTTTAAGATATTGCTTGCATAGAACATAGGATTGGTCATAAATATGACATAGTTCCCCATTTTTGGCATAATGAAAATATTTTATATAGTAAAAGCGTTCTAAACAACATTCAATATATTTTACCCACTGTAGTTCAGCCTAGGAAAAGTAATATATGTTATCAATAATGCTGGTATTTTTAGGAGCTAGTTTGTTTGGTGTGTCAATCAATTTCTATAGTAATTGATTTATTTGAGATCTTTTAGAAATTATTGTTGATTGATCTAATGATAATTTGTTAAGAATTAATCTAATTGATTCCATGATATATAATTGAAAGATCTGCAGGCTATAAGAGCTTTACTTCTTTTCCTCTTCTATTATTTTAACTTCAAATAAATGGTTAGAAATATAAAATTTACTAGTAAGTTATTATTAAAGTGATTTTTTTGTCTAGTGATGATTCTGAGTTATAATCTTATATATAGTAACCATTTCTTAGGCCAATAACATCTTCTGGTTACTCAAAACTAAAGAATTTAAGAAAAATAATGGCATTTTAATTCACATAAGCTCAGTGGTCTTAGAGCTGAAGATATTTACAGTTGTGTATAAAGTAGGAGAAAGATTTAGCAGAAGGGGAAAATGCTTTGTGGGGCAGTCTGCACACTGATATACCCTTTTGACAACATCAAAATGTAGCAAAAGCCATAAAGATGTTCAACTTCTAACCCATGATTTCACTCTTGAAAAAATCGAATACATGAGTTGTTGAACATATGAAGCTATTCCCAGCAGCATTCAATAATATACCATATAATGGAAATACCATTCCAGTGGACAACCCCAGGGGAAGGAGTGACTAATACAATAACAACATCTGAAATAAAATTTAAGATACAATAACCTTAAAAATAACAATGACCAAGTAGCAACATGGAAATGTTAATGATGTAATATTAATGACTTCCATGATGTAATGATAATGATATAAAATATATATTCATGTACACAAGAACCAAGCAGTCATACAAAAATGAAAATAGCTATTGTTAGATTTTATTACTTTTTAATCTTATTGCTACACCACCTTTTAAAGTGAAATGCAACAGGAGTTTCTTATTAATCATACCATTTATTTTCTAAATTCGAGTAGACAGTGCTACTAAATCCATTTGTAACACTAAAAAGAAGGCTTTTGTGGGTTTTACCCAAGTTAGGTGCCCTGGCATATCATTACCCCTTTGGTGGTTCACAGAATACTTCAAGGTACCTTCCAAAGGTGTCTAAAAAATTAGAAAATGAGTTATAAAAGTAGAAGTAACCATTGGAAGGGTTACTTTTGTGTGTGTACCTGTGCATCTGGGCTGTTACCCCATTACTGATTTCCTCAACATTTCCTTAACATTCTTAGAATGTAGAACATGTGATCTAAATCATTATAGTACATCTCTTAATCCCAATCAGTAGGCTGATTAAATGAATCAGATAAGAAAAATATTAGAGATTCAAAGGCTGAGGTTTCCAAAAAGGAATTAAGGTAAAATTGAAGTAAATTGGGTAGGAAGTAAAACTGAAATAAATTACAACAAACAGACAGACAGACAGACAAAACTCTCACAAAGGTGGCAAACTCAGAGGCTACAGTAGAGGCCAGAAGGTAACAGAAAAGGTAGAGCAGGCTATGTCAGTCATAGGGAGTGATGTGACCAAGTGCCAGGCTTTCCCTGTCTAACGACAGCAGCCACTGCTGAGCTCCAACAGGTTGTTGACATGCATGAATGCAGACCAAGGGCTGCCAGATATCCAGAATCATTCAAAAGAGGCCAGAAATAACAGGTATTCATATGAAATCCCTGAGTTTCTAACTGCTGACAACCAACTTGAATTTGTTTTAATTTTTGGTTCCCTGTAATAGACAAATAATAGCTGCCCTTGGGCTTATTTTCTTTCATGGGCTTCCTGTTGGCCATCTCTAACTTATACTGAGCATGCAAGGGTTTTGCAAAAGGATGATCTTTATTTGTCAGAGTCACATTTTCTTTATTTGCCATAAATCATGCTTTTGATTTAGGCCTTTTCATAGGAAAGATTTTTTTAAAAAAACAGAAATGTTAAAGTAAATTGTGAGCATATTGGTAAGCATAAATTAAGGGCTTACAAATGACAAGAACCTTATACTAATACCTAAATGTTCCTGAGGAGCAAAGCCTTCATGGAGTTCACTTTAATTTTCTGTATAAAAATTCTGACATTCTGAGTCACTACAAAAGGAATTGGTTCAAAAGCCATAACATAAACATGGCTCTGGGGTGAAATGACATTAAACGTGGTAAGAGCCAAACTCAAAATCTGACCCAGATGGAATCGCCACGAACGACCAAACTGCAGAGAGGATTCAGGTGTGTGCCCTGCTGTGCACATCTGGCTAATCTCCCTTTCCCTCTCCCATTCCTTCCAGCTCTCATTTCCATCCTTGGCTGCTGGAAGGAAGTCCCTAGAGTTGTCTCAGGAACAATGTCTGGCTGTGGTCAAGGAGGAGACAGGAAGCTAAGTGCAGAGGAATCTTTACTTCAGTGCTGGGAATTCACACATCCTCAAAGTCCCTCAGAGTTAGGCTCTGTGGATGGGGGAGCGCGTTGAGCGGCTGGAAGGAAGGGGAGAGTCGTCTATTCAACTAGACATTTGCATCACATGCACCCAAGGAAAAAATGTTTACCTGGTGGAGCCACGGTTAACCTTTTTTCCTTGCTGAGCCGGTGCCCTTGGATGAATTCACTCATGGAAGGGGGGCCCTTCAGAAGAAATGATTCTGTGGAGGTGGGATCAGGGGGAACTCTTAATAAATTCTGTAGGTAGGAAGCCCCTGAAGTCCTGGGACGGCTCTGATCACAAAGGGAAGGTGAAAATTGTCTTGCAGGAGATCCAAGAAAAATACATATAGGAAACAAAAAAGTTTTACTTTAATTACCTTTCAACGCCTCACCAGTGACAACATTATTTATATTGGCATTTAATTGTTTTAATATGTAAATCAAGATTTTTTATTTTTTGCTAATTGTTTTAGTTTCCACACCAGGATACAACCCTATTTGGAAACTGTTTTGGATAAACTGGAAAAGAGATTTATTACAGTTAGTAAGTTTGAACCTCAAATAGAAAATATATGTATTATTTGATTCTTAAACAAAAGCTAAAAATAGAAAGTTTTACTATATTAACAGACAACACCAGGTATGTAACTCAATAACCAGGACTTGGGGGGAAAACATCATGAAATCAGGCCACCCAAAACCTTACAAGTGGTTTCTCAGTGAAATATTCACATGTCAACTGAAAGAGCACAAAAACTTGCTTTTAAAGGAAAGGAGTATATGTATTCCATTCCGTTTTTACCTAAATACAGGCATGCCCTTTCAGTCATCAGTTTGGGTCATATGGACAAAAGTTCCCTTAAGAGAACATATTCATATCCTTGCCCCGTTAAAGAGAAGCTGGTAAATAGCACCATTTCCAGAGGTACAATGACTTAAAATCCAAGTAGAACACAGCTTCATTCTCATTATCCACCTTTACCAATTTTCCAGTTGGAGGTAAGGGAGAGGCATATATGCATACAAAGAGCAGCAAAAATATGAACAGACACTTTGAAAATTATTTTATGGTCAAAGCGGTGGGGATGGGGGCAGAAAGGAATATAGTAGCACGATTATCACAAGGTTTTGATCTGGGAAGACCAATATTTGCAAAGCCCATCTATAGCAGCTCCCATTTTTCCTTCTCCTTCCCCTCCTCCAGCCACCACAACAAGAGCACATTAATTTTTGCAGTTAACTAAAATCTGGCCACTGCACCATACTATGAAGATCGCTGCATGCATACCTTTTCCTCTGAGTGCCACTGCTGACCCGAATGGTGGGTGTCTGTGGGCCCTGACTATGCAGGAGGTAAGTGTCTATGGTGGGCACGGTGACTGATGCCTCCCCACTTACTTTAGGGCTGCCGATCTTGCTCTTTCCAAGTTTGCCTTTGCTGCGACGGGACTGCTCATGGTCAAACTCTAAGTCCTCCAGCCGCTGGGTCAGGGCGAGTTTTTGCTGGATAGCCATTCGTAACAAAGTGTTTAGAGTCTTCTTCTCATCCTCTGCGGCTGCTAACTGTCTCTGCATCTCATCCAACTGTGTGACATATTCATCACATCTGGAACCCAAACAGAAAGGTGGTGAGGGGGACATCTTGGGGAAACTGAAGTGCAATACTCCTCCCTTAATCGTAATTTCATTTCCCCACAGTTTCAGTTACCTGAGATCATCTGTGGTCCCAAAATTTTATTTGTCTTGACTCAAAAGATTTTTCTTTTATCTTATTTTTATTTGTGGCACTGGGGATTGGACCCAGGGGCACTTTACCACCAAACTACATCCCCAATCTTTTTTCATTTTTTATTTTGAGACGGGGTCTCACTAAATTGCTGAGGCTGACCTCAAACTTGAGATCCTCTTGCCCCAGCCTCCAGAGTCACTATAAGTATAGGCAAGTACCACTACACCTGGCTCAAAATTTCATTCTCAAGATTTTATTACTCTATACTGTTATAATTGTTATATTATTTATTATTGTTAATCTTTTGCTGTGCCTATTTTATAACTTAAACTTTATCACAGGTACATTTTATATATATAGTAACCATTTCTAAGGCCAATAACATCTTCTGGTTATCCCGCCCTCCTTTTAGTTATGTATAGGAAAAAAAACAGGGCACATAACTTTTTATTATTGTTATAATCATTCTATTTTATTATTGTTAATTATCATTGTGCCTAATTTATAACTTAAACCTTGTAACAGGTATAGGAAAAAACCACTACATAGGGTTTTGTATGATCAGTAGTTTTGGGGGGTCTTGGACTATATCTCTCATGGATAAGAGAAAAACTACTGAAATGAATTTGACTACAATTTAGATATATAGAATCCTGGTCTTCCTATCAACAGAATGGAGATAACCTATAGTAATAGGAAATAATAGAGCATGTTCACTAACCCACACAATAGGGTACATATGGGAGCACTCTGAATAGGCATCATGAACCCCAAGGACAGAGTTTTTTTGGGGGCTGCATTTTGGTCGTATTGTACAGTCTCACATGTCCAAAATACCTTAGATGTGTTACAATGGCTCTTTCTGCTGTATAACATTTGTCTTCTTTGCAGGAACATGACAAGTTTGTTATGGGTTATGTCTGTGGCATCCGAAAAAATAATAATGTTAGTGAAGGAACTATTTGCTTCTTTATCTCTATTTATAGGTTTTATTTTAATTTAGTACAGATCACAGCTGGCTGTTTTCAATATGGGTGATTTCTCTGAATTAGGAAATGGTGTTTTCAATGATTTCTCTACCAGATGAGAGTGCAGAGAGTTGTCAAAGAAAACCTGCACAAGGTTTGATGGAGGTAGAGCCAGTTGTCAGGAGCATCTTCATTCAGCTTCATGCTTGCACTAAGCATGAAGGTAAGCTCAGTGATTTATTTCCCCACCAAATGCGAAACCTGAGCCCATCCATATGCATTTGGAAGAAAGAGGCAGTGTGGGAAAAAAAACTTATTCTGAGATTCTGCTCTTTACTTACCCATTAAGATATTAATAACAATTCCTCTGCATGCACCAGCAGATGGTTAAGGACCATCTTGGAGTTATCCAAGACGCATTATACAAACTTTGAAATTAGCACAAGCCTGGGGTATTTTAAAGAAGAAAACAGGCTCTGTGGTAAAATACTTGAAATCAAGGGGGTGCCATTCTCTTTATCATTGAATGTCAGGAATCAGCGGGGACATGTAGATCATAAGAAAAATCAGATTTTAGTAAAATACCAAGCAAATTTCAGGACCTGGATTAATCTTCACTGCTAGATAACAACATTTTAAACATATAGCATTAGGCAGTTACTGTATCTGAAAAAATAAATGACTGTGAAAATGAATTAATGAGGGATACAGGCCATTCACTCATATATGGAGACTTCAAATGACCTTTTAAAATGTTTTCAATTTCTTTCCCAAAGAACAAATTTATGTTCTCTTGATTCTAAACATAAACTTGATTTCTTGCATTGGAGAGGGGACCATTCCCATTCTCTATCCTATCCCTCATAGTGGTCAGAGGTATACATCTTCTACTTTCCAAATACCACTGTGCTCTGGGCCCCAGAAGCCAGTTCCTCTCCACCCCTGTGGTCCCTCAGGTCCCTTCTGACTGTCATTTCCCAGAGATTCAATCACATATGACCTTGAGCCTTTTCTTTCCCAAATTACAAAGCAAGCTGCACAGATCCTGGGGACTCCTATAAAGCCCAAGACATTTTTTTAAAATTACATCAGCTACATGTAAATCATTTTATGAGTATGCAAATAAAGTCAAAGTTATGCTTTGTGAATTTTGCACCAAATTTGTATCAGAGAAGATATATATATAGTTGGTGCTTTTTGTTGAGGGAGGGGACTGCTTTGTGACAACAAAAAAGGTATTTCAACAGTATATTGAGGATCTCCAGATTTTTAAAACCCTCAAATCATTACATGTAATAATAATCTTTATTGTAGTACTGAGGATGGAACCCAGGCCCTTGGGCATGATAGGCAAGTGCCCTACCCTAGAGCCACATCCCAGCCTAGTACATTATTTTTTTCCCCACGTTTTAAAAATAGGTACATTATAGTTGGACATAATGGTGGGACTTCATGTTACAGATTGGTCTATGCATACGATATAACAATATAATTTGGACAATATCACTCCTAAGTATTTCCCTTTTCCCTTCCCTAGTCCCTTTCCTCTAGTCTACTCATCTCCCTTCAGGTTTTTTTTTTAATATTTATTTTTTAGTTTTAGGTAGACATAATAACTTTATTTTTTTCACAATTAAATTATTTTTTATTTATATGAAATGTCCAGAAGAAGCAAACCTACAGTGTCAGAGAAGAGATGATGGTTACACCACTAGGAAGAATGGGGAGTGAATGCTAATAGATATGGGGTTTCTTTTTGGGGTAATAAAAGTGTTTGAAAATGGTCTCTGGCGATGATTGTACATCTCTGTGTGTGGGAGGCCACCACGCCATGTGACCAGCATTTTCCTCTCCTGATTGGTAAGGCTCTGCTGGTCACTTTCAGTGATCTGGCCACATCAAAGTGGCTATAGATGGTGGCCCCGATCTTGAGAGTCGTAAAAAATGTAACCTTTCCTTTTCCTTTTTCCTCTCTAGCTTCCACATATGAGAGAAAACATACAACCCTTCACTCTTTGAGTTTCCAGAATATTCTTAATTAATTATTTCAAATTTTTTTTAAAAAGCATTTCCTCATAATAAAACTGGTGTGTGTGTGTGGTGGGGGAGATAGAAAGTAATATTTGTATAATTAGTTGGGCAATGTGAAAAAGTCAGTGATATACACAATTACGTTTTAGAAATAATATAAATACAATTTAATTCACAGTGTATTAAAGTGTAAGTATTAGCTGATTTGATGAATACTAGTCTTCATTATGACAGTATCAGGAAGCACCTTAATGTACTTTTATGTACTTTAGTCATAAGAATATATTTTAGTAATGATAATATTTAGCTATTTTAAGAAGTATTTTTTTCCCTTATGGGAAACTTAAAAAAAAAATCTAATATATGGGATTGGGCTGTAGCTTAATGGTAGAGTCTTTGCCTAGCATGTGTGAAGCCCTGGGTTCTTTTCCCAGTATTCCCCATCTCTGCCCAATACCTAATTCTTTTGAGCATATAAGGTATAGAAAAAGGTTATTAAATTAATTTTTTGTTTATTTGATTTTGAGACAGTGTCTGGCTGTGTTATCCAAATTGGTCTTGAGCTGCTGGGCTCAAGTGATCCTCCTGCCTCGGCCTCCCAAGTGGCTGGAAAAAATATTTATGTAATAGAATTGTTTGATCCATTGTGTCCAGTAGAGGACTCTGGAAGTGAGCCTTATATTTGTCAGAGCGGAATCTCTGTCCTAGACCACAATCCAATATGCTCAAGATGCACAGAGACTCACTTGTGAGTGCTCTAGTCTTTCTGGCGTGGACCACAATTTTAGGAAGAAAACCAGTTACCTTGTTGCAAACATTGCTCTCAGGGATGAGAAAGTGGCTGCATCTTCTTTCAAAGCCTTCAGTTCATTCCTCAGTTTCGTCATCGTTTCTGTCACCATTGCTTTTTCATTCTCATATTTGTTCTTCAGATTAGCTAGGGCCACCTCAGCTGTCTGAAGCAGAAAAATCACAATGCTCACCCTGTTCATATCAGGAACATCTGTCATACACAGTTATTCATGCTGGGTCTATTATTTCTCTCATAAATGGAAAGTGAAATTGACTTGGTTAGATTTCACATAAGCATATGTATATACGTTGGACATAGCAAAGATTTTCTTTAGTGTCAAAATGAGTTGTGAGAGGGCTGGGGACGGAGCTCAGGGGTAGAATGCTTGAGACACACACACACACACACACACACACACACACACACACGAGGCTCTGGGTTCAGTCCCCAGTACTGCCCAAATAAACAAACAAAACCCCACATAAACCAAAACAACAACAAGAAAAAGCAAAAGAAAACCAAAAACCTGGTGTGAATTGATAATGTGGTTTAACTGCCTTAGAAGCCAACCATAGGCCAGTCAGTATCAAGAGCTAAAAAATTGGCTGTAGTCCAATAAATACTTCATGTATATTGTTGAAGGTGTAGGAATTTCAGACATGGAGGGAGCCAAAATGAAACCTTACATAAGAAGGATTTTATTAAGGAGTTAGTAAAGGAGCGAAGTTTCCAACTGAAATACGTTAGGACTCACTTTTGTGTTCTCTGTGTTCCCTGTGGGCTTAAAACACGGAATAAAAGACCATTGTAATTTATAACATGAGTATATGATAAACTGTAAGCCGATGTTCTTATGTTTAAGGAAAAGAAATAACGAAGAACCAGTGGGTTATAGTTAAATTATTCATAATCTCCAAGAAAGCAGAAACTCCAAAATGTAGAAGTTGTTAAAATATTTGTTTGGGTTTGGGATTATCTGAAGTTTCTAGAATTAGTAGTGTTTCAAACCAAGAGCTAGCCTGGCACAGTAGAAAGTAAAAACACAATAACTGAATCCAGTGCATAAAATCAGTGAATATTTAGGGACATGCACAGCTCATGGCATTGGGAAGTCAAATGGAAGCATGGCACATGGCACATGACATGCATTTTGAAGTCAAACTGGAAACGCACTATTTTTACAGACTCTAAACTGCAACTTTTCAGAGTATGAAAAAATATCAATACTACTGGAAACCCCATTACTAATGGGATTTCCCAGGGAGACTACCATTATATTTCTGTGCTTGAAATGCACAGTTTCAACTTTCTTACGCAAAGTGTCAACTTCGATAGAAATGGATGAATTCATTTTTAATTAAACTAATATCAAGATGAGGTATTTCATTAGTATCTGATTCCAAGTTAGTTTCTTATTGGTTTTGACTCTGTATTTAAATTCAGATTTAAATGACAAGTTACGCAAATAACAGTTCTGTATGTTCTGTAAAGCTAATGTTCAGTGGAATCTTCAGAAATATTATAAATTCAGAAAACTATCCAGAATAAATTGGCCTGGGGAAAAATGTCAGTTTTTTTTTTTTTTTTCCCCTCTCTCACTCTTTTTAAGGTACTAAGGATCAAATCCAGGACTCACACGTGCTAGGTAAGTATTCTAACACTGAGCTACATCTCTAAGTAATTGTTTGGTTTTTCAAAAAGTTTACACACATATTCATTTAAAACAGATGATTAAATTTAAGTCATGCGAATGTAGGTGTAAGGAATTTGTAAGCACATGGAGTCACATAGTCAGTTTCTAAGGGGAGAAAAAAAGGGGGATGACAGGCCGCTGGATCTGAAATAGAAGTAAGAACTCATTTATTATTTGTAAGAAATGCCCCCAAAGACTGTTTTATTTGCAGATTTGTTTCTCCACAGACTATGTAAAACTTTTTCATAATTAATTTAAACCATCAAACCCCATTAGTAGATTTGTTGATATCTACATTCACTTTCTTCTCATACTTCAAAGTTAACTTTGTAAAAAAAAAAAAAAAAAACTTATTCTCATTCACAGAGACCATCACAAACATTCCCTCAATACATTATCCTGTTTTGTCACTTGTCCCACTGTACCTAATGTTCGTTTGTCTGGAATTATTTCCTCTTCCCCTGGGAAAACAATTTCTTATCCTTTAAGAACAAAAGAAAAAAAAAAAAAAACTCAAGAATTGTTCTGTGAAGTCTTTTCCAACTCCTCTAAGAAACATTGTTGACTTCCTCTGCCATGTTCCCATAACTTAGATTACAGCACATGTAACATCAAACTATAATTATCTGTTGTATTCTGCCATTCCCAGGGGGCTGTGAGTCCTCTTCTGGCAAGCAGAAACCATATATTAGTCTTATTTGAATGTTCACATCTAACACAGTCTAGTACATAAATGATGCTTCATAACTAAATTATTGCGTCAGAAGACACCGTGCCTCTGAATAAAAAAATCTTAAAGTATAATAAAAGATTCATAGATAGGCTGGGATGTAGGTTGGTGGTAGGGCACTTGCCTAGCATGTGCAAGGCCCTGGATTTGATTCCCAGCACCCCTAAAGAAAAAAAAATTTTCACTGAGAATACAGAATGCCTACCTCAAAATAAGATGATTTCCTTTTTCCCCTAAACCACAGAATTCTCACCTTAGTCTCAATAATTAACATTTCACAATGTCTAAATATGATGATGTTATCTGTTGATACTTGAAGCTATTTATGCGCATAAGCATCATGGTAATAGGCCCACTGTTGTTTTAATGGGCTAGAAATGTGTTTTCATTGGATTTACTGAGCCTACACAGGCTGTGACTCTGATGTAATGCAAATGGTACCACACAGCACTGTGAAAATCAAATTCAGCTAGGCATGCTTTGTTCTTCTCTAATTTCTATGGGGCTGGGGATGTGGCTCAAGAGTAGCGCGCTCGCCTGGCATGTGCACGGCCTGGGTTCGATCCTCAGCACCACATACAAAGATGTTGTGTCTGCCGAAAACTAAAAAAAAAAAATTAATAATTTCTATGGCACTGTTTATACCACTATAAAGTGTTCCACATGTTCCGGCCTGTAGTTACAGGCATGTGTTCAATTTGCACTAGATTATTAGTCATTTATTTTTGCATCCTTACTTACTATCTCCCATAACTTATATGTAAAGTCAATGAATGCTGGCTCAAAAATTAGTTCTCTCTTGGCTTATCAACCAACCTTATTGTTTCAGTCAAATCTCTTGACATTTTCATTGGCCTAGTTTTCTAGGTTGGTTAATATTCAAACTTTATGTAATAAATCAGAGAAGTTATCTGAAGGACTCAACCAAGAATGACCTCAGGATATTGTGCTCAGGGTAAAGAGTGTGTAAATCTTGTCTAGTGTGATTTTGAACCATGAATTAATACCCATCTAAACCTAAGTTTCGGATATATGGTCACTGATGGAGCTAGAGTTCATTCTCTCTCTCTCTCTCCATTGTTCTTTTTATTTTTATTTTATTTATATTTTTTGCAGTGCTGGGAATTGAACCCAGGGCCCCATGCATGGTAGGCCAGCACCCTACCACTGAGCTACATCCCCAGTTCCTCCCTCCCCTCTCCCCCACCGCTACCGCCATTTCCTTCTGTATCGTTTGCTTGTTAATGTGGGCTCCAAACTATTTGTTGCTAAAATCTGCCTGCTGCTGTCTTGTTCTTTATCCCTGAGTCCATGACTTGATCATTTATCTAATACTCCTGTTTCTCAAAGCCTAGGATTAAAGACAAGACACCCATTTTCCATCTTGCTACATGCCCTTGAGGAATCTCTGTCTCTGAAGTTGAGGTCAGGTTGGTGGCTCTCAGACCTCCTTTATACCTGCCTGCACCCAGACTCCCTTACGACCTGGCTGCCCACCAGGTGTCTGCCCCTCCTGTCGGATCTCCCTGGTTGTCGTAAACTGCCATGCCGGCCTCTTCTGCCACTATCTATGTCCTGCTTCCACACTCACAGGACTGCTGTCGTGTATCTGCAGCTGGGTCTTCCCTTCTGTTGTCCTTTTACCTTCCTCATCTCTTCCTCCACTAGCTGGGCACAACTACTCTCTATTTCATCCATTCACTCACTTAAAAATAACATCACACTCTGACCTGGCACTAGGATGCACTTTGTCTTATTGCTCCATTGACCAGTAATCTGAATCCTTGTCTTGATGGTCCTGGAAACTCAACAACATTCGGGAGGAAATTGGTAAAGAAGGTTTTCAACTAGCATGCTTTCACCAGTGGAAGGAGATTACCTGTTTGTTGGCTTTCAACACTGCCCTCAGCGTGGCAATCTGTTCCCGTTTGGTGCTCAGCAGGGACTTGAGCTTGAGGATCTCTTCCATTAAGGCTTCCTTGTCCTTATCAATCATGGGGGCCAACTCCCGAGCCGCTGCTCTCTGACGAGACAGTTGCAAGGACCGGTCCACTGCTTTCTGCAGATGCTTGATTTGGTCCCGGATTATGGCGTTAAGGTTGTAGATGTTCATTGGCTCTTTGCGGATATCACTTGTATCCAATACCGGAGATGATGGTGGGGCAGTAATAACAGGAGAGATGGTTGGGGTCTTAGTTGGACTTGGTTCTTTGCTGGCCTCTGTGTTTTCTTTTGAAACGGGTTCAGATGAGGTCCTTGTTTCTACTGGGGATGACACACCCCGTCTGGCCAATCGTGGAGACAAAAGTCCTCTGGGATCATCAGGCCCTTTCAGGCTGCCACTGCGGGTAACTCTGCTTTGCCTATAGTAGTCCAGCATGACCCTGTTGGGAGTTTCATTATTACACAGACAGACATGGTGGTAAAGCTGGGCTAGCTCCTCACTAAACGTCACTAGCTCATCCTGCGCTGTATTAAGGGTATTGTGATTTTCGTTGGCTATGCTGGTCATCTTTTGCAACTCCTTCTCCATGTGGGCCATCTTCTCGCCACTCTCCTTGGTGTTCTTCTCAAGGCTTGTCACCTGCTCATCATACATTTGGATCTTACTCTCATACTTGGCCTTTTCTTCTGTATAGTTTTCTATAGATTTATTATATTTCTCCTTTAAGGCCTTGATTTCTGCTTTCAAGTCAATCACCTCGGTTACTGCCACTCTGTATTTGCATTCGAGGATCTCTAAGCCGTTGATGTCCACCTCATAGTCATGGGCCTCCTCCCCTGAGTCCCGGCCCTTCTCCCCATCCAGCTCAGACTTGAGCTCCTTGCTGCTCTGCAAGCCCCTCATGGCGTTGACGTGCTCTGTGAGCCGGTGCACCCGCTCATGCTGCTCCGTCAGCGCCCCCTTGGTGTGTTCCAGCTGTGTCTGTGACTCCTGGAGATTGGCCAGAAGAATGGCCTTTTCACGCTCTACCTGCAATGAAAAGAAAGTCTCTGAGTGCCTTCAATGCAGTACCACGGAGGAGCTTAGTCCATTCACAGTGGGGCCTGTGCATATTTAAAATAACTGCAGCACAATGTTCCCGTTATTTCAAAGTAAATTGGAACATCTTTTCTTATTCAGCAGTTCTGGGAAGTCAACCCAAAAGTACATAATTCATAATATGGTATTGATAAAAGTCAAGCCATTTGAATTTTTCATAAAGGAGATAGAAAATCTTCCGAATATTCTATTATGGGCATTATGTACAATCCCAGTGAAAATGGATTTCAGGAGTGTTTTGTTCTTTTTTCCCTTGAAAATCAAATAGGTTTCCTTGGAAAAGTCTAAACATTATTTGAGTAGTGTACATGATTATAGATAAAACCATTTCCCAAAATCTCTCAATAGAACAAAACCTTTTATAAAATAAAAATTGATCAAAACACAATGTACTGAATGCCAGGTGCAGTGGTGCATGCCTGTAATCCCAGCAGCTCAGGAGACCAAGACAGGAGGATTTTGAGTTCAAAGCCAGTCTCAACAAAAAGTGAGGCACTAAGCAACTCAGTGAGACCCTATCTCTAAATAAAATACAAAATAGGGATGGGGATGTGACTCAGTAGTTCAAGTGCCCCTGAATTCAATCCCTGGTACCCTCCACCCCCAAAATTACTGAATGTGCCTCAAATTTATTTTGAGACAAAGTATTATGATAAATGAGGTAATGGGTTTGAAATGGTTCTCAAGCTATGCTCTTCTAGTTCATATTTAAAATATATATGTTCTAAGTCTAAAAGGATAAGTCTACCATTCTCTTTATGATAGCACCTTCAGAAAACATCACATAGAACATAGTTTCATGTGGAGATGTTCCATATACAGTATTGCTTTCCACACCCAATTTATTTCTGATGAAATCAACTGAATAGAGAGCAGAAGCCTTGGCTTTTTTTTTTCTTCTAGTGCTACTGGGGATTGAACCCAAGGTCTCGTATGTTAAACACACCCCAAATGCCCCCTTTAAAAATTTTTTTATAGTTGTATTTGGACAGAATGCCTTTATTTTATTTATTTTTATGTAGTGTTAAGGATTAAACCCAGTGCCTCATGCATGCTAGGCAAGCACTCTACCACTAAGCTATAGCACCAGCCTCCCAAGCCCTTTTTGTATTTTGAGACAGAATCTCACTAAATTGCCCAGGCTGGCCTCAAACTTGTGATCCTTCTGCCTCAGTCTCCTGAATAGCTGGGATTATAGGCATGCACTACCACACCTGTTGTGGTATAAATTTTATATGAATATGAATACATATGTGTATGTGTATATTGAATAGGGAGTGGTATACACATACACACAACTTCACAGGCAGTGATACTCAAAATTTACAATACTGTATATATGTACACACATATCTGCATATATATATATATATATATATATATACATATATACATACTACATATATATTGTATACCTATATATCTACACACACACACACACACACACACACATATTCCACTCTTTTGCTCCAGATAATTCAAGTGGATCTGACCAAAATATGATTACTGAATTATCACAGATAATTTTTATAGAACTCTAGCATTATGTTTTCCTTCAGTTATTAAGAACTGTAGTACCTTAATGTATTTGGATTTCAAAGAGAGCAGGCACTTAAACTATTTAAGATTCACTGTGCTTAGAATTAATAAATGTAAAACACTTGAAAGCTTTAAAATGATTCTACATTTTGGGGGTCATTATTTTAATCTCCATTTGTGAAGAACTTATCCAAGAGAGATTTGCTGAGTTAATTGTAATCTATCACGAAAAGAGTCACCTTATTTTTTTCCTATCATCTTCCTCTTTTATATCCCCCTGTCCCACCCCCCCCACCCCCCACCCCCCCCCCCCCGTCCCTGCCGCACACCAGGGGAGTGCTCTATCACCAAATTACTTCCCTAGTTCTTTCTTTCTTTATTTTTAATTTTGAGACAGGGCCTTGCTATGTTGCTGAGACTGGCCTCTAACTTGGGGATCCAGTCTCAGGCTCCCAAGTTGCTGGGATTGCCCTGCTTGCCTTTTAAATAAACATATTTACATGTATTGTGGACCAATAGAGTTTTTGTGAAAGACCAAGAAAAGATAATCACAATTAACATTAGGACTTCTATAGGAAAAGAAATCAAAGCTATTCTTAAACTATCAACTTCCATGAATTTCATTTTTTAACAATTTAAAAGGATGAGTTTTCTTGTGTGTGAATTTTAACTCAATACATAATTCTATTTTTTTTTAATATTTATTTTTTAGTTTTCGGCGGACACAACATCTTTGTTTGTATGTGGTGCTGAGGATCGAACCCGGGCCTCACGCATGCCAGGCGAGCGCCCTACCGCTTGAGCCACATCCCCAGCCCCATAATTCTATTTTTATTTTATTTTATTTTATTTTTTTTTTAAAATTTTGATATTTAATTTTCAGTTTTTGGCGGACACAACATCTTTGTTTTTTCTATGTGGTGCTGGGGATCGAACCCGGGCCACACGCATGCCAGGCGAGCGCGCTACCGCTTGAGCCACATCCCCAGCCCATATAATTCTATTTTTAAAATTAAAAATAATAATTGTATATATTTTGGGGGACATTGTGATACTATGATACATTTATGCATTGGAGGATGATTAAATCAGGCTAAATATAAATCATCTCACGTAGTTATCCTTTCTTTGTAGTAAAATATTTAAAACCTTCTCAACTCATTCTGAGACACTAGTATTACTCAGATACCCAAACCAGACAAATATATTACAGGAACTGAAAAATACATGCTGATTATCAATTAGGAATACAGAACAAAATACTAGTAAACTGAATCCAGTAACATAAAAAGGATTAGATAGCACAACGAAGTGGGATTTTTCCTAGGGATGTAACGTTGATTTAACATTCAAGAATCAATAAGAAAAATACACTGTTTTGGGTTGGGTTTGTAGCTCAGTGGTTGAGTGCTTGCCTCGCATATGTGAGGCACTGGGTTCGATCGTTAGCACCACATACAAAAATAAATAAATAAAACAAAGATATTTAAAAAATACACTGTTTTAATAGAATATAAAACAACATGATCCCTCAATACATGCAGGAAAAGCATCTGAGAAAATTCAATGTGCGTTCCAGGAAAAAAAAAAAAAGTCACCAATGTAGGAATAAAAGGAAATTTCCTTACACTGATTGAAGGCATCTATGAAACAACCAAAGATAACATCACACTTCTGCAATTCAGCTTTCCATCACTGTTGACAAAATATGTGAGAAAATTAACTTGGAGGAGGAAATATTTATTGCTCATGATTTCAGATGTTTCAGCCCCTGGTTGGCAGGCTCCATTGTTATGGGCCTGTGGTAAGGCAGAACATCATGGTAGAGAGGGCGTGGCGGACCAGAGCTGCTTACCTCATGGCAGCAAGAAAGCAAAGGCACAAGATATATATACCCTTCCAGGGTACACCTCCAGTGACCTACTTCCTCTAACTAGGCCCCACCCCCTACAGTTTCCATCATCTCCTAATAGTTCATTCAATTATGAACCAGTCAATGGACTACTCTGTTTTTGTTGTTGTTGTTATTTTTGGTACTGGGGATTGAACCCAAGGGCACTTAACCACTGAGCCACATCCCCAGTCCTTTTCACTTTGGTAAAAAGTTGCTAAGTTGCTTAGGGCTCCCTAAACTGCACTGGCTGGCTTTGAACTCACAATCCTCCTGACTCAGCCTCCCCAGCCACTAGGATTACAGGTGCGCACCTCCGTGCCTGGCTGGACTACTCTATTGATGAGATCAGGGGCCTCATGATTCCAGTCCCACTTCCCTAAAGCCTCATCTTTGGACATTGATGTATTGGGGACTAGGCTGGGGACATTCCAGATGCAACTATAATGAAACAATGGTGAAAAAGACTGAACCCTTTCCTGCTAAGATCAGAAACAAGACATGACTGATTGATTCGACATAGTATGAAAGTTCTTGCCAGGGAATGTAGGCAAGAAAATGAAATAAAAAGCATTTAGATTGGAAAGGAAAAAGCATAATTGTCTTTATTTGCAGAAGATATTGTCACAAGCCGTCCATGGCTTGTGTGTGGACTGTGTTGCACATCATAGCTTAGTGAGGGGATAAGTCTGGCATTGGGAACTTCCTGTGGCACCCCTATAGGGACCGACTGCCCAATGCAGGTGAACTCTCACCCAAGCTCTGCCAAGATCTCACACAGCACCTGAGCTGCATGTGACCTGCCAAGATGTCAATCCACCTGGTGACTACAAGAAATCACTAAGCAAGACTCTGCCCTTGAAACCTTATCCCTGCCTTTGATGTACCCCCTTAAATAAACCACCAGAGCCATCTTTCCTTTGTCTAATTCCAGCACCTATGTGGACTAGATCTATCAGGGGCTCTGCTTTATGTAAATATATTTCTGATTATTTGTGTTTTGTTCTTCACTAATTAATTTAGACTTTAAGTTTCCAGGTGGCTTACACCCTCCTTAAAGGAAGAGGAAGCCCACAATGAGACGCTGGCCATCTCCCCTGTTATGATATGATCTTGTATATAGAAGTTCTTAAGAAATCCACTTTTTAATATTTATATTTTAGTTATAGGTGAACACAATACCTTTGTTTTATTTTTATGTGGTGCTGAGGATTGAACCCAGTGCCTCACGCATGCTAGGTGACCACTCAACCTCTGAGCCACAACCCCAGCTTCAAGAAATCCACTTTTTAAAAAACTATTGGAACAAATAAACAAGTATAATAAGTTTGCAGGATACAAGATCAATGTACAAACCTCTATTATATTTCTACATGCTAGCAATGAAAAAAATCAAACTTTAAATTAATAAAATAATTGCATTCACAACACTATGAAAAATAATAAAATATTTAGGTAAAGTTTAATAAAAGAATGCTAAATGTATACTCTGAAAACCATA